AAATTTAAAAAATAAAAATGCAGAATTAGCAAAAGTTGGCAAGAATAAGGAGAAATTATAGCCTTTATACATTGCTTTATGAATTTCTTGAACATAGCAAAAAGTATATAAAAAAGAGCCAACAGTTAAAGGCATTCCCTTTAAGAACAGTAACTAGGCAAGGATGCCCACAATCACCTCTCTTATTCAATATTGTATTGGAAGTCTTAGCAATAGAAATAAAACAAGAGAAGGAAATAAGAGGTATCCAAATTGGCAAAGAGGAGGTAAAATTATCTATGCAGATGATATGGTAGTATACTTAGAAAACCCTAAAGACTCAGCAAGAAAACTACTGGACATGGTTGACCAATGCAGCAAAGTGGCAGGATATAAAATCAACATACAACCAGGAGAGGATAAAATAGATGAATGGGACCTTCTAAGAATCAAATCCCTATGCACATCCAAAAACTTCTCCAATGGAGTAAAAAGTCAAGCCATAGACTGGGAAAAAGTATTTGGTAATGACATGTCAGATAAGGGACTTATATCTAGAATTTATAAAATACTTGAGCACCACAACGAAATAAAGGTATACAACCCAATCACAAAATGGGCATAGGATATGAAAAGACACTTCACCAAAGAAGACATTTAGATGGGCGAGCTCTGGTGGCCTAGTGATAAGAAGCTACACTGCAATCTCAGAGGTGCACGGTTAAAATCCACCAGATGCTCTGCTGGAGGAGGAACAATCTCCTCCTGTACCAGTCAGATCTGATTTCACGGTACACACACACACACACACACACACACACTGAAATAAAATAAGACATTCAGATGGAGAACAAACACATTATGAAATATTCAAATCCCTAGCTCTAAATGATGCAAATCAAAACAACTATGAGACATTATCTCACCCCAGTAACAATAGCAAAATTTAACAGAACAGCAAACAACAAATGCTGGCAAGGGTGTGGAGATCTGGAACTCTTATTCACTGTTGGTAGGAGTGTAAAATGGTGCAACCACTATGGAAGGCTGTGTGGTGCTTTCTCAAAATGCTGCAAATAGAAATACCATTTGGCCCAGCAATTCCACTACTGGGAATATATCCCAAAGAGACCGTAACTGCCACCCAGGCAGATATATGCACACTTATGTTTATTGCAGCTTTGTTCAAAATAGCAGAGTTGGAAATAACCTAAATGCCCATCAACAAATGAATGGATAGAGAAGCTGTGGCATATTGACACAATGGAATACTAGGATGCATTGAAAAACAAGGAACTCATGAAATATTATACAAAATGGATGATCCTGGAGGACATTATGCTGAATGAAATATTTCAGTCACACAGGAATAAATACTGCATAGTGCTGATGGTGTAAATTGGGACTGACATTGGGGTTGGGGGGAGACTGAGAAAGATGGAATAAATAATGTATACTGCATTGAAACAGATGAGGGAGAGAACTGTTTAAAAGGGATATATGATTAGGTATTATTGTCATGAGAGGAGTCCAGAATGAAAGTTGCATGGTGGAGTGGTCTTGGAAGGAGGAATTTTATAACACTGAAAGAATTTTTCTTTTACTTTTCAAATGAAGAAAAAAAATTTAAAAAATGTAAAAGAAAAATGAAGGCTAGCCTGCATAGTGGAGTGGACTTGGAGGAAGGGATTATATGACAATGAAAGAATTTTTCTTTTCTTTTTCAAAGAGAAGAGCCAACTGGTGGGAAGGTTGAGCAGGGAGAAAAGTGCAATGAATGAATGGAAATCCAAAGTCTCTGTAAACTTGCATTAAAATTAATAAAAAATACTAATAAAAAAAGCTGTGGAGTGAGCACTGACTCATAGTGACCCTGTACTAGCATAGTACTGCCTAATTCTGTGCTATCCTCAGAATTGTTGTTATACTTGACACCTTGTGGAAGTCAATGTCATCCCAACTCATTGAGGATCTTCTTCTCTTACACTGATATTCTACTTTTTCAAGCATTATGTCCTTTTACAGGATTTGCATCCACCAGATCGATAACATGCCCATGAAGATGAACATGAGATGAAGTTTTACCATCTTTGCTTCTAAGGAACATTCTTTGCCAAAGACATTTTTGTTTGTTATTTTGGAAGTCTGTGGTATATTAAATACTTTTCACCAACACAATTCAAAAGTGTGAATTCTTTCATTTTCATTATCCAACTTTCACATTCATATGAGACAATTGAAAATATTACTTCAGTTCTGTTTTAAACTAATATCTTTATTTTAAACTGCTCCTTAGCACTTTAAGGAGCTACATAGCACCAGATTTGCCCACTGCAATACATCTGAAGTCTTGACTACTACTTCCATGGGTGTTGTTAACAGATTCAAGTAAAATTAAATATTTGAAAACTTCAATATTTATATACATTTATCATTATGTTGACTATTAGTGCATTATTAGGATTTTTGTTCTCTTTATGCTGAGGTGTAATCCATCCAGAATTCTTTGAATAAGTACTTCAAATCTTCATTTTCTAGAAGCAAGTAGTGTCATCTGCATAATCCATGTTGTTGATTAATCTTTCTCCAATCTTAAGGGCACACTCATTATCATATAGTTTGGCTTCTCAGTTTATTTGTTCAATAAACATATTGCATTGGTATGGTGAAAAGGTACAAGCCAGATGCACACATTTCCTAATGTTAAACTATGCAGCATATTCAGCATTCTCTTGTTCTGTTTAGATCACTGCTTCTTGGTCTGCAAACACATTCCACACAAACACAATTGCGTATTCTTGAATTATCATTTTTTGCAATGTTATTTGCACTCCAAAGTATCCACTCTGGACTTAAAACAGAGATTCAAAGAGCCACATGTGAACCATGTTCACAATATCCAAAAGGCAGTAACAACCTACATGTCCATCAAGAGATGAATGAATAAATAAAATGTAGCACATACATATAATGGAATCTGCTTGATCATAAAGAGAAATGACATTCTTATACATGCTACAACACAGACAAAATTTGTAAACATTATGATGCATGAAATAAATAATTCACTTTTGGAAAAATACAGGATTATAATAAGAGTAGGTAAACGTAGAGAAAAAAGATTACTTGCATTACCTGCAGATATCACTAATAATTGGAACATGGAAAGTGTGAAGTTTGAATCTAGGAAAATTACTACAAGAAACAAAAAGAATGCACATTCAAAACCTTTTAAACAGGGTAAAAAGGGAAGCCACAGACTGGGAAAAAGTATTTGGTAATATATCAGTTAAGGGACTTATATCCAGAATTTATAAAAATACTTGAGCACCACAACAAGATAAAGGTAAATAATCAAATAGAAAAATGGGCACAGGATATGAATAGACACTTCACCAAAAAAGACATTCAGATGGCTAACAAACACATGAACAAATGTTCAAAATCCCTAGCTCTAAGAGAGATGCAAATCAAAACAACTATGAGATATCATCTCACCCCAGCCAGAATAGCAAAATTTAATAGAACAGCAAGCAACAAATGCTGGCAAGGTTGTGGAGAAACTGGAACCCTATTCACTGCTGGTGGGAGTGTAAAATGATGCAACCACTGTGGAAGGCTGTATGGCGCTTTCTCAAAAAGTTGCAAATAGAAATATCATTTGACCTAGCAATTCCACTACTGGGAATAAACCCTAAAGAGACCATAACTGCCATCCGTGCAGATATATGCACAATCATGTTTTTCGCGGCTTTGTTCACAATAGCAAGGAGTTGGAAACAGCCCAAGTGCCCATCAACAAATGAATGGATAGAGAAGCTGTGGTATATTCACACAATGGAATGCTATGTTGCATTGAAAAACAAGGACCTCATGCAATATTATTCCAAATGGGTGACCCTGGAGGACATTACGCTGAGTGAAATATCTCAGTCACAAATGTACAAATACTACATAGTGCCACTGTTGTAGAACAGGACTGACATCAGGTTGAGGTGAGACTGAGAAAAAATGGATAAATTATTTATACTGCACTATACTGTAGTGTTCTTAAAGAACTCAAATTGACATGATGCTCGGAAGGATGGAAGGTTGGCAAAGTAGAGGAAGACCCTTAACCAGGTGGACTGATATGGTGACTGTAGCAATAGACTCTAATGTGTCAGGAAGTGTGAAGATGACACAGGATAGGACACGGTTCAGATCTGTTCATATGGTACCTCTGGGTCATACTTAACTCAACAGCACTTAACAACAACAACAACAACAACAAAGAAGGCAATAGTGTCCCATTATTGTTGTTGAGTCCAAACCTACCCATAACTGACTCTCCAGTGAGTTTTCAAAGACAGTTAATTGCACAAAAGATGATAGCCCATTAGGAATATTCCTAATGAGGATATTCCTCATTAGGAATAGCTGGCAAATTTGAACTAGGTGCCTTTGGGATTACAGCGCAGATTCTTACCACTAGGCCACCAGAGCTCTTGATGGTGGCTTCTTGTTGTTTTATACCTTCAAGTCAGAACCGACTCATAGCTGACCCTCTGATGGGTTTCAGAGGCAGTTAATCACATGGAAGGAGATTGCCCATCCTTACCCCATGGAGCAGCTTGTCACTAGGCCACCAGAGCTCCCTAATGGTGGCTTAGTGTTAAGGAAGTGTGCTGTCTGTGCAAAGGTACACAGTTTGAATCCACCAGTTTCTCCACATGGGAAAGATAAGCAATCTCCTCCTTTCGTGTAATTAATAATTGCCTCTGAAAAATAGGAAGGTCAACTATAGGTTGGTTCTGACTTGATGGTAAACAATAACAAAGAACCCAATGACTCCCCTATGGACATATTGCTGAGGAACTCACTAACTCCCTTTAGAACCTCCAACACAGAGCAAACTATGAGGAGTGAAGTGATGGGAGCATTAAAGACATATGCTGAAATGTCTATTAAAGGGAACTTCTAGGCCAGAGCACAATGGAGAAGGAAGGAGAATAGGGTCAGGGGGCTAACCTAGCACTCACGTGGTTAGGGTGTTGAAGCCACAGGCCTTCAGCTTCAACATCCGGTCCTTCCAATATGCCCTGGGCACCCGGAAGTAGTGTATAGAGCCGCCAAAGATGATGAACTTGTGACCCTCCAGGGTGAAATGTGTTCTTCTGGTCTGAAGTCCCATATTACGTTCCTTAAGTTCAGCAGGGATCAGATGAGACAAATTAAACCTGGCAATAACAGAGAACAAGTGGAAATGGAATAGGGAAAGGAGGTGGAGGAAGGAGAAGAGAGGCTACACACTAAGATATAAAGGAGCCCTGGTGGCACAGTGGCTGGCACAAGGCTGGGACTGAAATTGCTAGTTTCTGTAGGCAGAACGCACTAACACCTCTAATGTGTTTCTCATGGAAGAAGGAAGAGTTCCTCTTTTTTCCCACTTGGGCACACCTGGACAAGAACAGTGGCGGCACCTCTCCAGTCATTTTGCTCACAGCATGGTTAGCCCGAGGAGGTAAACCTGATAGGACAAATGGCAGGAAAATGATGCCTGTGATTATCTTCTTGAAGAGACACGAGCTGAAAGGAGAAAGGAATAATGAGATAAAGACTGTTCCAGAAGAATGCTCAGAGACAAGGGTCAGGGCATGGGGTGTCGCCCTTATAATGGGCGGTTTCCCTGGCTTGGTTTAATTCACAAGGCCTTTCTCTTGATCAGCAGCAGTTGAATTACAACTGCTGATGTTTTGGTTGGCAAAGGGCAACATCTAATGCACAGATCACCTGAGAGGCACATAATTGTGCGGCCAACTTAGAGGCTCTGGTGGTTCTCCCTGGCACTTTGAGCAACTGCATAGGAGAAGGATGGGTACTCTTCTGTTAAAATCCTGGGAAGGAGCTCTGGTGGCTTACTTAGTGCTAAGTGCTGTAACCCAAAGGCACCTAGTATGAATCCACCAATTGCTTTATGGGAGAAAGATGGGCAATTTCCTCCCATCTGATTTACTGCCTCCCAAAACCCACTGGAGATTCAACTATGATTTGGTAGAGGGCGTCCAGAGCAACAGAGCTCTGAGGAGAGGGAACAGCTGGAGCCTAGAGATGAGAAGAGCATGGTTGAGGCGTAGGGGAGGGGATCAGCAAAAGTGCAGAAAGTGCTTCCTCAGCTGCAGTGTTCAAGCAGGAGAGGCAAGAAACTGGGAGCCTAGAGGGTGGAGGAGGGTGAATAATTACCATTTGGGCTGAGAGTTGGGGAAGAGAAAACTGGAGTTTGGGGAGAGAAATTAGAAAGAGGGGATGCTGACAGATTTGAGGACCCAAGAAGAAAGGTGTGCCAGACTAAGGGTACCTCATTGCTTAATTCACTTTAAGATCTCCTCAGGTGCTTAGTATCAACGGACAACAGTATCTATAGCTGGCTGGCAGAGCATGAGGGTGGTCTGTGTGGCGCCGGAATACCTGGATAAAGTGAGAAACCCTGATTCTTTAAATACAATTGAAAGACAACATTTGTCACCTGAGGAAAGTCAGAGAGCTCATGTTGCGCGGAGTGGAAAGCAGGTCCCTGGTGCAGCTGTACCGCCCTCGCCGCCTGCAGCCGCGCGGTGCCTGACTGACTCTGGCTGCTCTCCGCTGCACCTCAGTGCGCTGGCGTTCAAAGTGGCCTGGGGCTGTTGGGCGGGTACAGAGCACCTGGTAACGTAAGCAGAGGCTAGGCGCTGCTCGGGGAAGGTGGGAGTGGCCACCAGCTCCAGTCTCCTGCCGCAAGTCTTTGGCGCAGCGCGTCAGGAAGTTAAAACAGACTGGACAGTGGAGCACAGAACAGTCCCACGTGGGACTCAAGTGTCAGAACTGTCCCTCTTGTCCCAGACTCCTTTTCGCTTATGGTAGAAAAACGGGCTTTTAGTCGTGCATCAGTGACCAAAAGGGGGTAGAAAAAGAATTCACATCGCAGACTGGGCAGGTGGGCCGTTTCTCAATTTTCTGTACAGACTTTGGTGTACCAGACGCGGCATCTGTACTGGGGCTGGGACGCGCAGTTAGGAACAGCAAATTCTCCCACCTTCAAACACTTTCAGACTGAAAAACTCATGTATATGCTTATTATTGTTCGGTGCCCACCTAACGACCCTGTGAGCAACTGATCTGAACCTTGCCCTATCCTGCGCCATCCTCTTTATCTCTGACACACTTGAGCCCATTGTTGTAGACACTGTCAATCCATCTCATTGAGGGTCTTTCTCTCTTTCACTGATGATTCATCTTTCCAAGCATGATGTCCGTCTCCAAGGAACAGTCTCTACTAACAACATGCCCAAAGTATGTTGAGACGAAGTTATCTTTGCCTCCAGGGAGCGCTCCGGCTGCATCTTTCCCAAGACCTATCTGTTCTTTCGGCAGTGCATGGGATATCCAGTATTCTTTTCTTTTTTTTTTTAATTATTATTAAATTTTATTAGTTTTAATGAACATTTACAGGGATTTTGGGTTTTCATTCCTCATTGCTGCACCATTCTTTCTACCCTCCTCCCCAGTTCGTTCTTCTTTGCCCCCCATGTCTGTTTTAATTGTCCAATTGCCACAGTGCTTGTCAAAGCCAGTTCTGATTAATCTCCTTTGTCAGTGTGTCCCTTGCCATTCCCTATCACTCCTCCCTGAGAGAGACTTCACCCTGATTCATAAGGAAAAGGGGATGGTGTATTCTCTCAGCTACTTCCTGCTTAAAAGGGATGCTGTGGGTTCCAGGGTGAAGATCTTCTCTCACTGCTCTAAAGGGCCCCTTTGGCAGGAAGAAACACATAGACTATTATGGAGATTGATTTTGGAATTTAGATGCACTGTTATTAATTGTGCTTAGCCGTACATGTTCATATCCTTGAAGATGTATCATGGGGGTGTTGCAACCTAGAAGACACAAATTTAACTAGCAAGTTAAAAGTACATGAGTCAAAAATTATGGAAAAGTAAAAGAAAAGATTCTTTCATTGTTTTACAAACCCTCCCCCAGGTCCCCTCCACCATGTAGCCATTGCTCTAGACTCCTGTGATGACAGAAATACCTAGTCACATATCTCTTTTAAACAGTTTTCTCCCTCCTCTGTTTCAGTGCAGTATACATTATTGAACCCATCTTACTCAGTCTCTCCCCAACCCCGAGGTTAGTCCCATTCTACAACAGTGGCATCATGCCATATTTGTCCTTTTGTGACTGGGATATTTCACTCAGCAGAATGTTCTCCAGAGTCAACCATTTTGAATAATATTGCATGAGTTCCTTGTTTTTCAATGTAGCATAGTATTCCATTGTGCGAATATACCACAGCTTCTCTAGCCATTCGTTTGTTGATGGGCACTTAGGTTGTTTCCAACTCCTTGCTATTGTGAACAAAGCTGCAATAAACATGGGTGTGCATGTATCTGCTTGGATGTCAGCTATGGTCTCTTCAGGGTATATTCCCAGTAGTGGAATTGCTGGGTCAAATGGTATCTCTATTTGCAACTTTTTGAGAAAGCGCCATACTGCTTTCCACAGGGGTTGCACCATTTTATACTCCCACCAACAGTGAAGCAGGGTTCCAGTTTCTCCACAACCTCGCCAGCATTTGGTGCTTGCTGTTCTGTTAAATTTTGCTATTTTGACTGGGGTGAAATGATATCTCATAGTTGTTTTCCAGTATTCTTTTCTAACACACCTCACACTATTGTCCTTATTCATTGTCCAGCTCTCCAGTGCATGCTTCTTGCTGTTGTTATGTGTCATCAAGTTGTCCATGACTCAAAGTGACCCTATACATAATAGCTTTGAACCCAAACCTATCCTGAGCCATTTTCACCGTCTTGGACACACCTATCCCCATAATCCCAGTTAGTGTGTCAATTCATCTTGTCTAGGATTGTCCTCTCCTCCGCTGTGCCCAACCCTTCCAAGTTATGATGCCCTTCTCCAAGCACTGGTCCCTCCTGGCCACATGCCTAAAGTATGTTAGATGAGCTTCAAAATGCTTGCCTCCAAAGAGCAACTAGGTTAAACCCTCTCCAGGACAGAACTGTTAGTTCTCTTGGCAGTCCAAGGTATGTTTAATACTCTTCTCTAGCACCACAACTCAAATGCATCTTTAGTCATTGTCTGGCTCTCTGATGCATAGCAAGTAATTGCAAAGATCATGGCTTGGATCAAGTGCACCTCTAGACTTACATCATTGCTCTTTAGCACTCTGGAGAAGTCCCTAACAGCAGATTCTCCTAATGCAATTTGTCTTTTGGCTTCATGACTGCTTATGCAGTGTTGATTGTGGAACCAACCAAGCTGAAATTATAAACAAACTCGCTCTCTTCTCCATCTATCATGGTGCTGCCAGCTGGCCCTGTGGTGAGAATCTTCGTCTTCTTGATGTTGAGCTTCAGTCTATATTGAAGACTGCAGTTCTTAACCTTCTGCAACAAACTCTTCAGGTCTTCCTCAGTTTCCACAAACAAAGTTGTGCTGTATAACATAGTTTGTTGATGAGTATTCCTCCTGATGCCATGTAAAGTCAAGCCTCCGAAATGATCTGTTCCGCTTATAGATTGAAAAGAAATGGAGACAGAATGCATCCCTTATGCACACCGTTACACCGTTCCAGATTTTGGATCATACAGTGTTTCCTTGCTCTGTTCTGATAACTGCTTCCTGGTCTAAATATAGGTTTCACATGAGCACTGTAGGAAGCCAAATATATGATAAACCATATGCTTAATCAGGAATTGATTCTTCTCAAGGTTAGTCACAATTTGTTGTGATATGCAGTCAAATGTCTTTGTATAGTCAATGAACCAGACAGACTTTCTCTGGTACTCTCTGCTTTCTGCCAAGATCCATCTGCCATTGGTTATGATGCCCCTAGTACCATAGCCTCTCTAAATCCAGCTTGTATTTCTGGTAGTTCTCTCTCAATGCTTATGTACATTCAATTACCTTGAGATAAGTGTTTGAGTATATCCCAGTGGAAACCACGAAAGAACTGAAGAGTGATGAGACCACCCTGGGGAATTATAGCTTGTCATCCTAATAGCCAGTCTTAACAATACGTGAAAATTGTCTGAGTTTAGAAAATTAAAAATGCTGTTTCCAGTTGGAGAAACTCTTTGAAAATGCCAGTAAGTATCTGTAAAAATTTGGTTTCGAATGTTTAGGCTGTGAAGCAAATTGTGGTGATGTGTTATGTGTTGCGTTGTTAAGGGAAATGCAGTAATTGGAATCTACCAGCTGCTCCTGGGCATTTTAATATTTGGTCAAAACTATCTTTTGCATGGTAATGACTGCCATGAGTACAAAGTGCCATCTTTAAAAAAATTAATCATATCACAGAGTCACACAATTTGATGAGGAGGGGAGTGAAGGAAATGGTAAAGATCCAGTGTGAAAAGCAATGTATATGAACTGCGTAAATGAACCAGAAAAAAAAATTACACCCCCCCAAAAAACCCCACCTGTTTTCTCTTCAAGATTCCTCCTCTGGAGAGTTCCTTTATCCTTCTCACACAGCTTTAACATTTGAAAAAGCAGCTACCGCACTTCAAAGGGACCAGCTGCCCATCCCCCTAGCCAACCCCAACCTAGACTGAATTAAGAACTTTCCTGAAGTTTTACACCTTTTGTTTTACTTCTATTACCAAATATTCTGTTTATCTTGAAGATGAGTTTTAATCTTTATGTCAAAGAAAACTTTGTGAGCAATGTGTATAGTATAGGCATCTAATTTTGGCATATTTGTGGGAAGAGGGAATATTAGCTATAAATACACAAGAATTGTAGCCATTAAATGTCTCAGAACTGCAGGTATTGTGGCCTGTCCACCTCCACCATTTTCTTTTTTACACAGCTGAATGACTTTTCTAGACTTTTTGCAACTATTGTGGCATGTGTTTCCCTGTCCCTGCCCCACAATACCTCCCATGGACATTTCCCACTTTAGAAAACTAGAGGGTAATACTGAGTTGGCAGTGTGGTTTTTTGAGGTTTTCTTTTTTAATTCTTTTTTATTTTTGTTGGTATGCATATGTGTCATTGTTGTTATGTGCCGTCGTTGAGTTGCCTGCGACTCATAGTGACCCTATGTATAACAGCCCGAAACCTTGCTCTATCCTGTTCCAATCTCACGTCTCTGACACACCCATCACAATTACCCCAGTTACTGAATCAATCCACCTCATAGAGGGTCTTCCTCTTCTGTGCTGTTCCTCCCCCCTCCCTGACATCCTTCCCCAAGGACGGGTTCCTCCTTGCAACACGTCCAAAGTGAAAGGCTACCTGGGAACTGGGCAACATTCCACGCTGATGACACCTTCTGGGATACATTCCAATCTGCCTGGTGTAAGATGGCTATGGCCACTCAGAAAAGAACACAATCACCAACCACACTGTGCTTAACTGTCAGCAATGACATAATTCACCTGAGAGGACTGAGTGACTCCACATCTGGGAACTAGATCAATGTTCTCCATGGAAAGCTGATCATCGAGCCAACCACCCTACCTCCCAACCTCTACCTATAAAACTTGGCCTGTAATTCCCTCATTTAAGACTCTGCTGCCTGACCTTGCCTTTCTCTGGCCTCAGACAGCAAACTTACTGCAAGAGCTGCTCATAAACTCCTTTGTTTCACTTCACCCAGTTCTCGGCACCTTTTTTATCTTACACAAAGGATGTCAGATGACGCTTCAGAATCCTTGCCTCCAAGGAACAGCCAGGTTTTACCCTCTATAGGATAAATCTGTTTGTTTTCTTAGCAGTCCATGGTATATTCAACACTATTCTCCAGCA